AATATATTCATTAAAAAATCATTATTTCTTGATTTGAAATTAAAAATAAACAAATTTAAAAATATAATTATGCACACAGGATGTAAAAACTGATTAAATATATTATATTATATTATATTTTCAATGGTTAAACTAAAGATGGCAACGGGTCCCCACGGGGGCGGGGACCCCATCCCCATCTCCATCAATAACAGGTACGGGGATCCCCGTAGGGAATTTTAGCGGAGGGTCAAAAATTGCCTCCGTCCCCATCCCCGTGGGGAATAATAGGTCCCCGCGGGTATTCGGAGTCCCCGCCAAATAAAACTATCACCTATTTCACTGCTTGTTAATCAAAATTCCAAAAGAAAATAGCAATTTTACAAAATCCTAGATAGCAAACAAAGATGATCAAGATCATTATTTTAAAACAAGATAAACAAGTAATAAATATACACAATAATACAGCCAATATATACATGTCATTGTCAAGCAAGTCCAACAAGTAAGCCAGCAACAAGTTCATATTTTATAAAGAAAAAAGGCATAAACTGCCATATAAATCGAGTAAATCGAACAAAAGGTTTATAAAAAATAAAAGCATAAATTACAATTGCCATATATGTCTAGATTCAGCAAAGTTGATAGAAAAAAAAAAAAGCATAAGCTGTTGCCAACATGTCCAGCAATAAATTCATTAAGAAAAAGCACATAAAAGAGTCTAGGAAGTGGCAAATGCGTACATATCCATCCAATTCAGTAAAGCAAACTTTACAGCAGCAACTTAAGCTAAGCTTGATTAATTTCAAGTTGAGGAAATAACTTCCTGAAATAAAAACAAATACCCCAAATTAAAAGATTTTAGAAAAATTTCTTTATATAATAATTTATATAAAGAAACATTATTGTTTAAAATTTACCTCAGACTCATCATTCTCATTATCATTTTCCTCCAACTCCTCAAATAGATTGAAGAAATTCCCATTATTGTCAGAACCTGAATTTCAAACATAATAAAAGTACTAGTTAAAAATACTCAAGCACTAAAGCACAAAAATTAAATTAAAAATTACTAATTAAAAACACTAAAGCACTCAAGCACAAAAATTAAATTATACTAATTAGAAACACTAAAGCAAAGCACAAAAACAATAGCTTCAAAAACTGCATCTAATTGATACCTGAAGTTGGAAAGTTTGAAAAGAATACGAGGTAGAGTTGCAGAGGAGGAAGCCACACGAAAACAGAACGCTGACTTGCAGTGATGGGCTGATGACACGGTGCCACGGTGAGAGCCGGGCTGAGATGACCCAGTGGCAGCCTTGGAGCTTAGCTGGAGGTGAGCGGCGAGCGTTGTAGGGTAGCAAGGGCTAGGGGTTGTAGTGACGATGAGGTTGAGAGCTGAAGGGAATCACTGTGAAGGTCTGTGAGAGGCAGGCTAAGATGACCCAGCGGCAGCCTTGGAGCTCAGCTGGTGGTGAGGGCGAGCATTGCAAGGCAGCAGGGGCCGGGGTTGTAGTGACGGCGAGGTTGAGAGCTGAAGGGAATCACTGTGAAGGTTCGTGGAGATGAGGGCAGAGTTTGAGCAAGAGTGTGGCAGAGGACAAAAGGAGAGGAAACTCAGAGACTGACTGGAGAGACCGACCGAGAGATGGCATGGTGAGTCGGTGAGAGGTTGAGAGCTGAAGGGAAGCGATCCGTGGAGATGAGGGCAGAGTTTGAGCAAGAGTGTGGCAGAGGACTAGAGGAGAGGAGACTCAGAGACTGACTGGAGCGGAGAAACCGACGTCGACCGAGGAATCCCAATTCCCAAATTTGCAATTTGCAACAATTGCAAGAAGCGGCAGCAAAAGAGAGACTAAGTGAAATGTCCTCCTGCTAGGGTTACATGTAAATTGGGCATGGTAATTGGGGCTGGACAATTAGGTGTTGGATTATTAGATTCACAAAACAAATTGGGTTGGGTTGAGAATTGGGTTTGAAAAAATTGAAAAAAAAAATGGGTTGTGAAATTTAAGTTATGTTGGTATTGGGTTAGTTAATTAAATTAGATAAATAAAAATTAATTGCTAATATATGTATAAAAAAATATATAAATAAATTTATATATTTTTTTATTTTATAT